TTCCCCTCATATGCCAAATCCAATTGATTAGTAGGATCTTCCTGGAACTCTGTGTGGAGAAGAATTCTGAGGGAGGGCTGACAACACACGTATGACAGACTTGTTTTTCATGACTTGAATGTTATCTACAAGAAGCTTCTCAGATGATAACTCCATGGCTAATAACACAATGGAGTATTATTAGCTCATCTACTAATCCAAATATTTTTAAAATCAGTGACAGGAAATATTTTTTCAAAACCAAATTTTTTATTACCTGCTGCATGTAGCTATTCACAAATTGTACTAAGATATTTGAAAAAGACATGTAGTGGCTAATATGCTTTACATGGAAGTTAACTCTTATAAAAAGAAGCTTTATGAATCCATACTTACAGGATCCCCTCCAGAGGCAAATGAAATAGACTGCATATGATGATTTGCAATAATCTGGAAAACATAAACAAATTAAACATGTATGATGTTATAAATTAATTACTCCTATTCATATACAATCTAACAGTAATGGACATACATGTGTTTGTTTTGGTTTTGCCTGCTTAGCATCCCTTTGGAAGCCACTCCACCACATTCTATAATAATCTCATTTAGACCAGGAGGTTCAGGTGGGTTTGACATGTCGATTTCACTGCCATTCTCCTTGCAGGTGGATACACGATCCAGGCCTTGCCAATCAGAAAACACCATCCCTCTGGATACAGCAAAGCCAATCAATGTCTTTGGGTTGGAACTGAGGCGGATAATAGGAGAGAATGCATCTCTCTCTGCCATTAAGGACTGTGTTCACCCAAAGCTTCTGGGAGCCATCTTGTGCTGCCATGAGGGAAAAGCCTGCAGGAAAAGGAAGTTTTCTCTCTGGAGAAAATCAGAACTGAGAGTTAAAAACGGGAAAAAGTCTAGTGGTAACATTTGTTTCATCACTTCAACCAATACATTTACCCCCTTCCTTTATCTTTTTATGTATTTTTAAATTTTATTTATGTTTATATAAGTTAGTTTGAATTGGGTTTCAGTGATTCACCACCAAAAGTCTCCTGACTGGGCTGGCCCCATGGCGTAGCGGTTAAGTGCGTGCGCTCCGCTTCTGGCGACCTGGGTTCAGAACCCGGGCATGCACCGACGCACCACTTGTCAGGTCATGCTGTGGCTGAGTCCCTTATAAAGTGGAGGAAGATAGCCACAGATGTTAGCCCAGGGCCAGTCTTCCTCAGCAAAAAGAGGAGGATTGGCATGGATATTAGCTCAGAGCTGATCTTCCTCACAAAAAAAAAGAAAGAAAGAAAAAAAATGTTTAAAAAAAAAAAAGTATCCTGACTAAGGCACTAACAGTAAGACTTTCAGTACGAAGTAAGACTATCCAAGAGGAACTGCATTAGCTAGCCAAGAAGATTGTCTTTTTTACCTGAGATTCTATTTGGAAGCCCCAGTGTAACGGCCCGTTTGCAGAGATGTATTTGTCATACTGTTTTGAAGTTTCATTAAAACCCCAACTGTGCACCTATTAGCTAATCCTGTCTTCAGAATCTACTACAGCTGCTTATATAAGAGGACCAAGCAATTCTACTCTTAGATGTATGTCCAACAGAATCCTGTAAATATGTGCACCAAAAGATATTCTAAAGAAAGATAATCACCGCCTTGTTCATAATAGCCCCAACTGGAAACAATCCCAATGATGACCATTGTGATATTCAACCCATGGACTACCACACACAACAACATATATCTTGGGCAAAAGAAGCCAGACACGAAGAATTATACTGCATGGTTTAAATTATTTTATTCTGTTTGAAGTCAGAATAGTGGTGACTTCTGGGGCAAAGGAAGAGACCACAGGTGGTTTTCCGGGATCCTGCAAATGGTGTTTCTTGATCTGCGTAGTGGTTAAACAAATACGTTAATTTTGCGATAATCAAGCTGTACACTTATGATTTGTACACTTTTCTATATTTATGTTTTCTAAATTTATATTTCAGTTCAAAATAATTACTAAAAGCAAAATCAATATACAAAGATCAATGTCATTTGCACATATCAGCAAAAGCCAATTAGAGACTGTATTCAGGGGGTGGGTGGGGAAGATACATTTTATAAGAGCACCTACATGTAAAACTAATAAAAATTGTGTAAGGCTTTTTGGAAAACTTCACTCAAGGATATAATTAAGACTTGAACAAGTAAAAAGATATGTATCACCTTCATGGATGAGAAGACAATATTGTAAAGATGTCAATTCTCCCCCAAGTTAATCTATAAATTCTGTGCAATTCCAACAAAAATTCCACCAATGTCACTCAGGGAAATTTTCATGCTGCTTCTAAAATTCACATGGGAGAATAAATGTACAAAAAGAGATAAAGCCATTTTTTAAAGAACAAAGGGACAAGATTTTTCCTTATCAGATAGCATGACATATAAAGACATATTCAAGTTGTTTCTAAAATTCATATGAGGGCCGGCCCCGTGGCTTAGCGGTTAAGTGCGCGCGCTCCGCTGCTGGCAGCCCGGGTTCGGATCCCGGGCGCGCACAGATGCACCGCTTCTCTGGCCATGCTGAGGCCGCGTCCCACATACAGCAACTAGAAGGATGTGCAACTATGACATACAACTATCTACTGGGGCTTTGGGGGAA